TGGAATTCAGACAATTTAGGAGAAGTTAGGATTAACTTTTTCTCGGAAATTTGCAAGTTGCTTCATTGAAATTCAATATCAAGTGACGAAAAGAAGTCATCAACAAAAACAGGTAAACAAACGAATCAGGACTTGGAGACCCTTAGCCTTGCAAAAAATCGAGACTCCGAGACAGCTTCGTATAAAAATCGAGACTGCGAGACACACATAACTGCTACAAAATGAGACTGTGAGACCCGTGAAATTCGACTAAAATTTTGCGAGACCCAGAGTTTTTGAAGGACCATTCACAACCCCTGTCTTTGGAAAAAAGTGAATTCCCCGTGACATGTTTGGAAAAATAAAAGGGGATTTCCCGTTTCTCCAGAAGCGAAAAATTCCGATTGGTTGAAAGGCGACAAAAGTGTCATCTCCTTGTTGACGGCCGATCATAATTGCGTCCAGGCGCGTTTTGCGGTTTGAAGCAGTTGTCATCTTTGACACATGCCGTGAATCGTAATGGAGTCGTTGTTTTTAAAATAGAATAGAAATTTCAACGTTTCTTCGCTCAAAGATGAACAGAAAGAGGTTGTTGTTCATCTTCTTCGGTCGAAGGACGTTGTTACAATTTTGCCGATCGAGTTTGATATATCAGAATTTTCTTAAAGCCTGTAAAACGGCAAAAGAAATGCAGATGAGGCGAATGCTGTTGTTCTTATTGTTTCGCCACTGACTCAAAAGCATCATGAAAGAACAAATAGAAGAGATGGAAGAGACTGGATTTCCTTCCATCGTTTTGTTAACAAAGGACGACGTACTACCGCCGATTGGAGAAACGAAATACAAGCTTGTTTTCGGTGCAGCGGAAGACTTTTGGATGCAAAATTCCAAAACATGTTGAAAAACAAAGATTCTCCACTAAATAATTGTGTTACACTTAGTGTAACATCTTCCCGTTTAGGCTCAACAAATAAATTTTCCGTTGATATATGGGAAGTCGTACCCTCAAAATTCCTCAAGCGAATAACAAAGGAGCAAGTGCATATCCTACAAAAATCGAAAGGACCGCTTGTTTTCGGCTTTCTCCTCCTTTCTATACGTTTTTTTATTTTTTGGAGTAAAGGTCGTACAAGACGACATCCTCAACACCTAAACGCAGGTGTTGTCGTTTGCAAACTGAACTTGCAATCGATTAAACGAGTAATTTACCGCTCAAATTTACAGTGCGTTTACCGAAACCGGAGCCACCCAGACAATGAAAACCAATTAGATGGCAGAACTGAAACAATAGATTCCAAAATTTTCAAATCCAGCTAATCATATGTCCGGTTCAAAACAATGAAATTTCAACTTGTTCATTGTGATGCTTACACTACTATTGTCAAGCTCAAGCCGTTAGCACTTTCGCGTTAGAAAATATTGTGTTACTTTACTTTAGATTTTACATTGACAAGCGTGATAAACTCATTAGATTGACTGTTTTCCACTGTGAACGTACGGCCACACAAAATATCACTTTTACTGTTGTTGCTTAAAATCGTAGAATAACAGAGTTTGACATTTTTTAAAGAATAAATTCCACTCCTGTTGTCTGTGTGTGTTTCTATTTTTACACAGCTTTTGGTTATTTACCACGCAGTTCTCGGAAAAACCATCGCGTTCATTGTCTCAGCAGCTGTACATTTCGGAGTTTGAGCTCCCTTTCTGGATTATCAAGGTATTGAAATAACATCTTCATGGAAAATTCAAACGAATTTTGTCCGCGTTGTGCTATCAAAGCCTCAGCGTGTAAAATCACTCAGGCAAAAACAAAAGACGATAGCGGCAAACCTCCGCTGGATTGAAAAATCAAAGATATTTCGAACAAAGAATTCAGGTTACAAGTCCATTTTTGTATCAAGTCAGCTTTTCATTTCTCCTGCTTGAAGTTCGCTTTCAGCTCCTCTCAGTTACATCGAAAATAATCCCTTCCCAATTCGTATAATTTTCAAACCTATACAGATGTGAAACTACCCAGAGACCATATGAAGAGTTTGTTTTAAACAGCCGCGACAATATTCAAACCCTACAGCACACACTCTGGTGGCAATATATATTTACGAGTGACACTCTTAAGAAGCTTTTCTTTCCATGTATTTCCTAAACCAACCAAGCCATAGAAAGTGGGGCAGCATATAATTCTTCTTAAATCCGCAAGCGCGCGAAACTACTAATGGTTTGAGCTTAACAATTTATTAATTGCTTGAGCATCACAATGAACAAGCTGTTTTGTACCGGAGATTTGATTGGCTGGATTTGAAAATGTTGGAATCTATTGTTTCAGTTCTGCCATCTGCCGATTGGTTTTCATTGTCTGGGTGGCCCCGGTTTCAGTAAACGCACTATAATTGGTCCACTTTATTTAATTAGTCAAGAGGCGGAGCTGCTAGCCACAAGGCGATAACAGGGGGTGAAGCCCAATAAATTCGCTTTTTTTTCCCCAAAGCTGCAGTCTCTCTATTCTTCGTTTGGCTCGCTTTGTTCGCCTCCGCACCCCCACCCCCGCATGCTTCGCGCTTGCTTCGCTCGCTTTTTCTTTAGAGAAGCTGTGAACAGTTTAACCGGTCGCGTCTTAAAATCAGACTGATTGTCTTCAACGATAAAAGAACAAAGTGGACACGGTCGGTAGTCGTTTGAAAACCACAAAAAATGTTGGCAAATTCCACGTTTCTCATCATTCAATTTGTATTTTGTTTCTCATGGAAATAGCGCAAAAGAACGAGGAGCAAGGAGATGCTGAGTACAAAAAAAATGAATTAAGTAATGCCGCCGTTTTCTACACCAAAGGAATTGAAGTGAACTGCAAAGATGTCGCACTGAACGCTGTTCTTTACAAGAAAAGGGCAGCCTCTCACTTCTTTCTGGGTGAGTTCAGGCCACTATTTGATTTCCAGTTTAGTAACAATAAGTGGAAGCGTGGTGACCTCATGGTTAGTGCGCTCTTGATCGAGCAGTCCGGGCTCGAGCACTGGCCAGGGACACTGCGCTGTGTTCTTGGGCAAGACGCTTCACTCTCACGGTGCCTCTCTAGTCTCACTCTTCATCCAGGTGTATAAATGGGTACTAGCAACTTTGATGCTAGGGGTAACCCTGCTATGGACTGCTATCCCATCCAGGGGGGAGTAAAAATACTCCTAGTCGCTTCTGATGCTACAGAAACCGGCATAATATAAGCTCCGGCCTGATGGGCCTGACTTGGCTGCTAGGCAGACTTTACCTACCTTAGTTACAATAAACTTAAGGATGTTCTCAGGTCTTCTAAAAATAAATTTTCCATTGCTTTAAATTATCCTAACACGAAAACCCATTTTTTAGCTTTGAGAATTTGGTAATACATCATCTTTGATGATTACGTTTATTCTCCTCACCTTTCTTGTTGACTGAGTATGAATACTGTAAGAGGAAAATAGGTCTTCAGCACTTTTGCTAATTCCAGTGGTATCAATACCAATCTTACTCTTTCCTGAGCTTCAGTGACCCAATAGAAAATATAATGGATGATAGTCAGTGAAATGTCAGACTAATTGGATAACAGATCAAGAGATTGAATAACAGTCAAGTCAGGGTCCTCATGTTGTATTTTTAGAATACTATCTTCTGATCTTGGACAACTGAAAATTTAAGACCACCCATCCACTGATTCCAATTCCAATGATGGAAAAATGGCTCGTTTTGGTTTTAGTGCGAATTCATTATTGATTTGGGGAAGGGGAGTTACTTTTCTCCTTTCGTCCTTAGATTCCTTAAGGGTATACTAGGGTAAGCGGGAATTGCTCCCACTCACCCGGGCGTAATTTGGTAAAATATTGAAGGGGAGAAGTTAACTTTGGGCAAGCTTCCTGTTTGTTGCCAACAAGAGATTATATATTATGATCTCTTGCTGCGAAGTATGATTTATCAAACTTTGCGCTTTTTTATTATCGTAAGCAGTTTTACTCTGCCCAGCTGAAATAGGCTCTCTGTGCGCTTTACGTACCTGTGGTTTTTACCGAGAAAAGTCACTCTTTTTGCGCAGGTAATTCTCCTGAAGCCAGGAGGGATCTAAACATTGCAACAGAAATCTTGCTGGCTAATGTCACAGGTGAATCAACGTTCTGTTGAGTTTTATTTTGTTTTGTGTTGTTGTTGTTGTTTTTTTTTTTTTCATGTACGACGTATGTCCTTGCTTGTTTCTCTAGTTTTCGTGTTTTGGTTTGATATGCCAAATTTATGCCAAAGAATCCTTACAAGCAGCAGGTGTCTTTGCGACTTGAAAAATAATCCTCGTCATTTTTAAGATAGATTCGTCGCCTTGAAGATTGAAAAGTTTTATTTACGTGATTGATCTTACAAAAACAGTTATTACAAATAAACTGAATTTAAGAGTCACATAACCTGTTGAACAGAAAAGACCAATACAGATTTTTGCGGCCTGATTCGTAATGAATCCGAGCGCTTTATAAGAAATGATTTTGACAGTGACACAATGGGAGACGAGTAAATATTGCAACAAAGTACGGCATGAAATTTTTATTCCCAAATTTGCAATTTTGGAATTAAGGTTACCGCATACCTTTCTGAGAGGACCTTTAGAGGTGTCTCGCGTCCCTGCGATGTAGCGCGTCCTTTTTAAACTATAGATACCTAAACGCCTATGTCAAATCAAAGCTTATAGAGCTGGCTGGCTATCACACAATACCAACAAGTTTGAAATAAAATGAATTGTCGAATTTTTCACGACCTTTATAAATGTGAGCTTCAAACGTCTTTTGGGTCCCGTTTGAAAGCTGCAAGTCAGAGGAATTTGTTTGTTCTCAAATCATTTTGGAAAGTAGCTAGTTTGACATAAACAACTAAAACGTGTCTGCGAATTTTTTTTCCAGATCTTTTTCTCCGGTCGCGATATTTCTGCGATACCTCCATATTTTCATTTTTTCATCTAATTCGAACGTGTTCTGTAACGCGAGACACCTCTAAAGGTATACGGTAACCTTAAGCGCGGAAAATACTACTTTATCCTATTCTGAATGATCGCAGTTTTGTTTTTGTTTTTTTTTTTTTGACTTACAAATCTATTTATCGTTTATTTGTTTTAGCGGGAAAATGCTCGCGTAAAAACTAGCCTGTTCGAGGCTCTCCATCATTAGGGACGATCGGAAAAGCGGGCGGGCGACGGGCAGGGTCTTTTCTCTCTTGGATCCCGCTCGTCGCTGATCCCCCTCGTCGCCCGCTCGCTTTTTCGATCGTCCCCACTGACCGAGAGCCTGGAAAAGGTTAGCAAAAACCAAAAGGATAGCAGGATCACATTCACGCTTTTGCACGTCACCATCTCAACCAATCAGGCCCCAGTTCAAAGGGTGGGTAACACTATCCAGTAGATAGTGTAGTTTGTTTTGCCAACACTTATCCACAGGATAGCGATTTATCCGGTGGATTTATCCAGCCTTTGAACAACTGGGGCCAGATGCAAAAGCAAAGCCATTCTTACCGGTCAAGTGTGTTTTCCAGCACTTGGTAACAGTCATGATCGTTTGTTTTGCGTTCTCATTGGTTTTATTGTACTGGTTATGTTGTTGCTGAAATCAGCTCAGAAAATGCTTTGTGTCTGATAGCAACAAGAAAAGAAGAAGCTGAGCGTAAGGAAAATGAATCTGGAAATCCGTTACGTTTCTTTACTGAAGGGGTTGATGTAGACTGCAAAGATGACGAACTGAACGCCATTTTTTACACCAGAAGGGCGGCCTCTCATTTTTCAATGGGTGAGTTGACACGATTATTTGTACTCGATTGAGCTTAGTCAATTTAAACCAAATTCAAAATATCAATTCTCCTAACTTATAATTACCAAATATTTCTTTCAATTTTAGCTCTGAAAATTTGGTGGTGCTGTACATCAAGACAATGTCCTTTAGCTATTTGACGGTTTTATTTATTCTCCTTACTTGTTCAGTGCTTCAATGTGTATCAAATATTTTAGGAGAAATCAGGTCTTTATGGCGTTTGGTAATTTAAGGACGTGCGCGCGAAAATTTTCCAACATTGATTTTTTTCTGAGACTTTTACCACTATAAGATGATGGGTTAGTTATGTCAAAAATGTAAAAAAAAGAAATGGGGGGTCACCGACTTCGTTTTGGAGAGAACATGCCCAGAAGAACACCCTAAATCTGAAAGAATCGGGCTTTGATAAGGCCACAGTGTCTGTAAGCCCAAAAATATTGCAATTAAACCTTTGAAGTGAAATGTTCTCTGTCAAATATTGTTTAAGTGGACCCATTTTAATGGGTCCACTTAAAAGTGAATTTAGTCAACTGGTGAGTCAACTTCAACTTCAACTTCACTTTATTTTGCTCTTACATTTGGAATTACAATATTAACATAAAAAAGAAAGAAAGATACATATATAACAGTTAAAGGTCACAATGGTATATAGTTTGTGCATGGAGGCTAATAGAACCGCGAGGTTATCGAGTTAGCCTCCATCTCGTTTAAGTGAACATAGAAAACATGGGAGTAGAAGGACGGATTACTAAAGGAAAGAGCTAGAAGAATTGTGGAAACTTACGTTTAATATTGCTGAGATAGAACATAGTTTTTAACACTTTTGGAGAAAGCAAATTGATGTAAATCTTTAAACTTGTATAGTATTTCTTGCCAAAGATCGGTGGCCATATATGAGATCATTTGCTTACCAGTGTTTGTTTTAACTCGGAATTTGTGAAGATTTTGATTGGCGGCACACCTGGTGTAATAATTATGTACGTTGCTGGCATACTGACAAAAATGGTTAAAGAGTCTTTTGAGGTTCCTTAAAGAACAAGTTCGCATTTAGCGACCATAGTTTCACGCGCCTTGCAGCCGCAAGATGGCAGGATTCGATGTCCCGTGGACTGAAAACTTGAAATTTTTTTTGCTTTCCATATTGATTTTTTGTTCATTCTTGGACAATGTGGAGATAATTGTAAATAAAATCTGTTTCTGGAAAGAGAAGTAGGGGTCACCGAACTTCCAAGATCGTTAAATCCAGGCAAAGCTATAGCATTGGCCATTGGCCATCTGCCCTATCATTGTTCAGTTTATTACTTAGCGCGCGCTCTCATGCATGACGTGGCGTGTGAATTTGCGTGCGCAGTGATGATGCGCAGAAACAATTAGCGCGAACGTCCTTAAGTGGTGAGGCGTTTCATAGTAATTTCATGAAATAATGTTTAGTTTTTGATGAGAACTGCAGTGGACAGATAGTTATTGTATCACGTGTATGACGTGTCCCTGATTTCAGATCAACTGTTTCGAATACGAGCTCGGCCAATGTCATCGTGTTGTGTTCTTGAACTAGACCATTTTACTAGTTTAAAAAGAGCTGTTCAAAATTTTGGGGGAGGAAGATGTCCATTGTACTGGCCGGTGCGATCAAACTTGGTCTAGTAAATATTTTACTCTGTTCATATTGAATAGCACTTTACAATCTTCACGTACTTATAAATAATCGATAAATACGTTATTCACTAGATAACCACTTTCCACAGGTAATTTTTATGAGGCAGTCAAGGACGCAAAACGTGCAAGAGCATTCCACTATTGTTATCGAGGTGTAAGAGCATTCCAGAAATCTCCGATACAAGCTATTGTTACAGGTAAATAAACGTTCCTCGTCAGGTTTGTCTCGTTACAGGCCTAGAAAGTGCAGGAAGCTAGGAAACCACGATGCAGCAATGCACCTATCAATGTTAATTCCGCGCGGGGGGAGGGGGGGATCGGGAATACGGGAAAGAAGCGGGGGATTTGATGCCTAGGACGATCGCTCCATTCGGGCTTTTTATCGTGCGATGCAGATTCAGGGTCGGAGCTATATCTGCAGTTATAATCCATCAAATATTTTCGCTCGCGCGATTGGTCTAAACGCTTCACGTGAGTAATTATGCCCCAGCTAAAACTGGGGAATGTCCGAGTGATATCCCCCAATTTTCAAAACTGCACGTGTTGTGATGAAGATTAATAAACACAAAAGCCTCCATTTGGCGTGAAATTATGCTCGGATATTTGTCCACGGATATTATCTTTTCCGAGAGGCAAACAGTTTCCCGAGAGTGTAGTTCGAGGAAAATTGTGAGCTTTGAGGAACAGATAATGTCCAAGGACAAATATCCGAGCATATTTTCGCGCCAAATGGAGGCTAGTGTGTTTATTATTCTTCAAATATTTTTTTTACAACACGCATAGTTTTGAAAATTGGGGAATATCACTCGAGTATTCTCCAGTTTTAGTCGTGGCATATTCAGTCACATGACGTGTTTAAACCAATCGCGCGTGAGCAAAAATATTTGTATAGGTAATCATACGGCTTTTTTCGTTCAATTTGGCATTAATTTTCACGAGTGAGTTTTTCAAAAAGCTGAAATTGCATGAGCCGCTTCAGCGAGTGCAATTTCAGCCTTTTAGAAAAACTCACAAGTGGAAATTAATTCCAAATTGAACAAGAAAAACTGTATGATTACTTATCAATAATACAAACATGAAAAAATTCGCTTGGAGGAAGTGCCGGAAGATCTTTCTTGAAGCCACTTTTTCTCATTCGAGAAAACTTTTTCAAAGTTTTCGCACAAAATTTTCGTCATCATTTTACGTGATATCATTGGCTTAGAAAATTTCCTATTGTCTTTCAGCCAATCATAATCCAGAGTTTAGGATGTGTAATTTGCACTGGTGTTACACTTTTTGCACTGGTGTTATACTTTTTGCACTGGTGTTACACTTGAACTGCACTGCTCTCAGCCAATCAGGATCGAGTAATTTTTTCATGTATATTATTAAATGTATTATAGTATAGCTTATAATCCATCAAACATTTTTGCTCGCGCCCGATTGGTCTAAACGCGTCACGTGACCGAATATTCCCTAGCTAAAACTCGGGAATATCCGAGGATATTCCCCACTGAATTTTCAAAACAGCGCGTGTTGTGAAAAATATTTGAAGGATAAGATTCAAGAGGTTCAAGATTCTGTTAATTTGCCTTTTCACCTAATATATTAGTTACTTATAAATATTTCAATGTATGGCGAGGTGACCTCTAGAAACCACCAGGCATAATAAACACAATAGCCTCCATTTGGCTCAAAAATATGCTCAGATATTTGTCCACGAACATTATCTGTTCCTTAAAGTTCACAGTTATCTATTCGCTTCTCGGAACAGATAATGTCCGCAGACAAGTATCCGAGCATATTTTTATGCCAAATGGAGGCTATTGTTTATCTATCTTAGATTTATCATGGTGAGTCTCTTTCTAGAAAGAAAAAACAGCACATTGGGAATTTTTGTTTGTATTTGAAGACTTTTAAAGGGTCTCTACTTTTATCAATTTTCTGTCACCTAATACCAACAGGAGCAAAGGCCTGTAAGGAACTTCAGTTGTATGAAGAAGCAATCAAGTGGTGCTGCGATGGGTTGGCAGTATCCTTTACTAATGCAATTACAAACAATATCTTGTATTTGGTGCCTCCTTTTGAATTCTTTGTTTTGAATCACCAGGATGATATGTTGTGAATCATCAAACCAGCCATATAAATTCGGACTGAATTATTGTGAAAGTATCCAACTTACATTTAGACGGTTCCGCCAAAATATAATATTCTTTGCCTAGCACTGGGGACTCTTTGTCTGCGCGAACACTCGAGTTTCAGCGGACTTTTAAGGCTTCGCTTGGTAAACGAAATAAGAGTGGAATATATATACATAAACAAATAAATTCTGTATGTTTGATTTTGAGTAAATCGCGAAAAGATTTCTAACCATGATACTTTAAGCATAGGAATTGAAAAGGGACCTACAGATGAACACAATTTTAATAAAACTGTTTCAAAGTGATCCTAAAATGTGCCATGAAGCTATAATTATTTTTACGTTATGCACCAATGATGTAAGTCTCCTTGATATAATTCCCTTTATTGTATTTTCTCTTCCATTGTGCTTCTTTAAAATTTGAAGACTCGATAGGGATTTTCTTGTTATCTTCTTGTATATTTCACCTTCCATACAACATGGTTAAGGATGCTACAATTAGCTTTTTATAGCAAATCGGGTTTGCGAAAAATTCACGTTTTATTGATTTTGAACCTTTTTTTTGGTCTCCTTGGAAATATCGATATCAAACTTTAATCTAGTTTCAAAAACTGTCCAATCCAATCGAGGGAAGACCAAAAAAAAGACTTTTTGCCTGAGGCGAAAGCCCTACAGCGGTAAACACCAAAGTGTTCTTAACCTTGACTGTAAGAAGATTGATCGGGAAAACAAGACTTTGCAGGAAGTAAAAGGCAAGTCTATTAAGGATGAGGCTAAATATGATGATGCACAGAAACTCAACACGAAGACTGAAACTGATGCAGTCAAGGTATAATGGTCAAATATTTGAGATAAATGTTGCTGCCAAATGTCTTTTTTCATTGACCGATAGACTGCCTGGCTTATTTAGTTGTTTGTCATGCAGGAAATAAACGACAGAAAAGGAAGCCTCTCAAGCAAAATCATTGGTGAATGCAGAGGAATATCTCGTGGAGCTCGAAACGATTTTGACCGTGCCCAGCTGTACCTTGTACTACCCACAAGTAGCATCAAAAAGAATAAAGACAGGGCGGTGGAGGGAATAGTGCACGTGGCGGACGGTTTCCAATTGTTCGCGAGTGGTGAGAAAGAAAAAGCAATATCGCGCTTCAACCAAGGTCTAGCTGTTTTCAGGGAATTAGGAGACCGAAAAGGAGAAGAAAGTGTCGGTGTCATTTTAGCGGCGGTCTATCAGTCTTTATCATGGGAGTGCCATTTTGCCCATGATTATCATCACGCAGAGGAAAACTTTAAACGCCGCGTGGTGATTATGAAGGAGACACGATTGGCAGCAGCTCAGAATGAGAGAATAGGTGAGCCCCACTTCAACTTGTATCAAGTTGGCAGGAACTTTAAAAAGGCCGAAGAGTACTACAGCGAGGATCTTGCAGATTGCAAAAAGATGGGAGACAGACCTGGAGAGGCGCTTGCGTACCGGAATCTTGGCGACACATGTTACCTTACAGCCTTGGATGAGGTACATTGTTCAAACTACATGCGAGACGCCATGTCGCACTACAACGAGTATCTAAACATCTCCGTGGAACTTGGTGACAAAGGTAAAGAAGGCGATGCATATCTTTCTATTGGAAGAATACACCAATATCTTGGTGATCTCAAGAAAACCAAGCAATGCTACAACAAATGTTTAACCATTTGTAAAGAAATCAGAGACGTGGAAGGCGGAAAACATGCTCTTCGCAAATTAAGGTCTACGTTACTCATTCGTGGTGACCTTAAGCAGGTGATGCAATTAAATAATCAATCGCTTTTCATTTCCAAGAAAAGTCACGACCACTTTCACGAAGCAGAAGCACTGATATATCAAGGACACTGCTTGGCAGAGTGTAGATTTTTTAGCGATGCTGTTCTCTCCTATCAGTCTTCTGTGGAAAAAGCAAATTCCATCCGAGACTGGAATCTTTTGGAGGATTGGATGAAGATCTCCATACGACATTTCTTTGGAATTGCGTACGCCGCACTCTCTGCCACTCTACTCAGACTGGACAAGACAGAAGAAGCTTTGTTAACTGCTGAGAAGGGACGCGCACAAGCTCTAGCCGACCTGCTGGAAACACAGTATGGTTTTGAAGCATGTCACCATGGCCAGGACTCCTCAGAAGTCTCACAGCGAGAAACAGCGAGTGAATTGTTCACCTGCGCACCCGCCAACACTGTTTTTCTGGCCGTTTCCAAAAATGTAATCAATGTGTGGCTACTGCAAGACGGAAAGCAAGTCCACTTCAGTCAGAGTAATCTCACTGAAGACCATTCCGAAGATCCGAGCTCAATGCTCGAGGAAACCTACAAAGAGGTTGGTGTTAAACGCAGAGTAAGATGCGAAGATAGGTCACTAGATGCACTCCGCAACAAAGATGGCTTGACAATACAAAAGCCGACCGACTTGTCGCTTCTCAGTTTCCAAGAAAGTCTGCGTAACGGTAACAGAAAGGCACCACGCACGTCACCTCCTGTTCACAGAAAACGCCTCTCTGTCCTTTATGACGCCGTTGTCGCTCCAGTTATTCCCCACCTTCGTGGAAATGAGCTCGTTATTGTCCCCGATGGTCAGTTCTTCCTAGTTCCTTTTGGTGCCTTACAAGATACCGAGTCCCGCTACCTGTGCGAATCGTTCAGCATCCGTGTAATTCCTTCCCTGACATGTTTGAAGATGATCTTGGATGCTCCAACCGAACACCACTGCAAACGCGGCGCTCTGGTTGTAGGAGATCCGTGGGTGCAAGAAGTTGTAGACGATGAAGGACGAAAACTACGTCAACTTCCGAGTGCCAGGAAAGAAGCGAAGATGATTGCAGCGATTGTCAAGACTTCCCCTCTCATTGGTTCAGATGCTACGAAGGAAGCAGTGCTGAGCAGGCTCAACAACGTTGCGCTGATACACCTTGCAGCACATGGCAACTCTAAAGCCGGTGAGATTGTATTGGCTCCCAATTTGTCGAGAAAATCCAAGATCCCCACTAAAGAGGATTTCTTGCTGACCATGCCAGATGTGTTGAGTGTTGGCCTTAGAGCAAGACTTGTGGTGCTAAGCTGCTGCCATAGTGGCCAAGGAGAGGTCTTTGACGAGGGCGTGGTCGGAATAGCTCGAGCTTTTCTGGGTGCAGGGGCCCGTTCCGTCCTTGTGGCACTATGGGCAATTGACGACGACGCAACACTAGAGTTCATGCGCGTGTTCTACAAACACCTGGCCCGAGGGATGAAAGCCAGCCAAGCCTTGAACGGCGCCACAAACTACATGAGGGAATCAAGCCACATGAGGGAAACAAAAGATTTCGGTGCGACTTGCCACTGGGCCCCATTTGTGCTGCTTGGAGATGACGTGACACTAGACTGCTTTGAAGAGAATGAAGACGTCTCGGAGCACACGTCTACAAGGTACAGTGAAGGGTTATTAAACCAGTAAAATGTTGTTACAAAACTGAATTCCTCAGTCGTAGCCTCCAGCACAGACGTGTTACAAACTCCTCATGCAAACATGAATTCGGCCATAAACAAGATCTAGCTAGATTCCTCGGAGGGGGCGGGGAACTCCCATATGAATAGGCCGGAAATGCTCATTGTCTCGCTTCTTTTACAGTACACTCGATAAAATAAAAAAGCTGTCATTTCCATTTTAAGTGTTATCTTTTAGGGGTCAAATAAAGCTCGAGCCACACCCGAATCGGTCTCCTTTAGGGGCTTAATTCAAATTTTTTGAAGAGCATCACTGACCTTTTCACATGGCAGTATCCAGAAGAGATTCATTTCAATAATCTACCTGTTAAGTCAATATCCGGCTAAAACAAATGAGTTCACTGTTAATGAGACCATTCAAATTATACTTCCATGTGGTACTGTTTATTATGCTGCCCGAGGTAGTTTTAACTTTTAAGTTTGTAGATGAAGCCCTGGGGTTCAGCTGTTTTAATGAAAGCTTTTGAGCATTTCTTACATGTAGTACTGTTTATTATGCTGCCAGAGGTAGTTTTAACTTTTAAGTTTGTAGATGAACCCCTGGGGTGCAACTGTTCAAATGAAAGCTTTTGAGCATTTCTTACATGTAGTACTGTTTATTATGCTGCACAGGGTTGTTCTAACTTTTAAGTCTGTACATGACCCTCGGTTTTATTTGATACACTGGACAAGGTAGTTCTAACTTTCAAGTCTGTGACACATCAAATGAAGACAGTGAAAGCCATCGGTCAATTCCCATACAGTACCATTAGTATGCTTTCAAGTTTGGAAATGACGCCCCTTATTTGAATGAATAACAATATTTCATAATGATAGCAATGTTTGTTTTGCAATTTCTTTGTTTTGTTTTTGTTTTTCAGGAAAGACAATTAAAGGGAACTTCTGCATCAAGTGAACATCTTGCTGTGACCCTGTATTCACTTGGAAAGCAACTGAGACCCCCACTTATATTTAGTACATGAACTAAGGAAATAACTAATTGTAAGCATTTGTGAAGGTATCTGAAAATTATAGGTAATTGAGAATTTGTGAAGTTGCAAAGCCAATCTCATATGAACATTATGAATTATCAATTTAAATAACACACGTCATAAATTAATTATAAGGATTTTTTTTACATAATCAGTTGTGACAAGATTCGTAAGCAAAACGTCGGCAATTAATTACATGCAATTGTAGATTTAGGAAGTTAAATTTATATCAAAAATGTCCACAATCAATTTTTGTACTGCTATTTTTTCAAAAAGCAGGAATTGGTGACATTAAAATTTCCTAAAATAAGAGATTTGTAGTCTAAGCACAAGTCATTTTTCAAATTTTTTATTGATTAGTAATTAGGAACTAATAAATATTCAGGGTTTCATTAGGGGCAAATTGACTGACTCTAAGGATGATTCTGGCCACTTGCTTTGACCTTCTAGGGAAAAGCTCCTCTTCAAAGGAAGTTTGGTTCAAAAGGTTTTGCCCAGCTGTGAAAACCAGTTTCCCTCCTACTGAAAATGTTACGGAAACGCCATGAAATATTACTGATTATTGATTTAGTCTTATTGAAGTTAATGAACAGTGAGGCTGTAAGTTTTCTAGTCTAGTCAGTACCTGTAATTTTTGTCAACTTAATATGGTAACAGTAATAAACAAATTCAAATCACGTTGCGTATTTTTATATGAAATTGGGAAGGTACTTGTTTATTTATTTATTTATTTTTTTGCAGATATTTACAATGTTAACCTTATCTTTGATTAAAGGGGCTAGGTCATGTAATTTTAGGCAATTTCAGCACTGATCAAATGGTCATAGAATTCACTAAAATATCACAAAACGGCTCAAAACTATAGAAGATCTCAAACAAAACACAGGAAAGCCAAGAAGGGACATGGATGGACAAAACTGGAGAGGATTAAAATGCATTGCATTTGGGTACATTTGAAAAACATCGGCCCACCTTTTTTCAAATTTATATCAGTTTATGTCAAAATGTCATTTACACAGCTGGAAAATCATTCCCAGTTGTTATGTGGCCGTGATTTTGCAAATGAAAGACTCTTGATCTGCCAATTTGATGTTTAGAGCTCATAATTAACAAAATTAAACAGAATAACCTAAAATAGCGTGACCTAGCCCCTTTAAGCCTGTCCAAATGGGAAATGTTTGGCAATTAAACACGATCAAACTTTGTTTGGAGGCACGGTGGCCTCATGGTTAGTGTGCTTGTCCCCGGATTGAGCAGTCCGGGTTCAAACCCTGGCCGGGGACACTGTGTTGTGTTCTTGGGCAAGACATTTCACTCTCGCAGAGCCTCTCTCCACCCAGGTGTATAAATGGGTACCAGCGAATTGTTGGGGAAACCTAACAAATTGCAGGGGAGCGACCTGCGATGGACTAGCATCCCGTCCNGTCGACTCCAAGGCTTCACTTCAAACTTTGTTTGGTGACAAAACGTTTTCCTGTTTGGACACCTTGTTTGATCATGCTTGATAAAATTTGAACGCCGACAAAAATTGATCACACAATGTAAGACATCTTGTTCGTATGGACGGTGATGAAACATGTTTGGTCACCAAACATTGTTTGATTGTGTTTGATCACCAAACATTTTCCATTTGGACAAGGCTTAATGATTATGCACGACTCCAGACTGAGTGGTCTGGGTTTAAGCCCTGGCCAGGAACGTAGTCTTGTTCTTGGGCAAAACGTTTTACTCTCAGCGCCTCTCTCCACCCAGGTGTACATTATGGGTATCTGTGAATTACATGCAACAGAAGGGGGAAGGGGGAAGGGGGGTTACCTGGATAGATTATCATCCCATCAAGGGGGTGTGGGGGATAGAAATGCTCCAGCAGCCGTAGTTGGCCCTTTACACTACAAAACCTACGATAAGAATTAGCATGATTGGCCACTAGACTTGACATACACATAAATCATTTGCCGTAATATTAAAATGTTTGCTGATAGTAAATCAAACTGTATTAGCTCAACAAGAGAAAGCAAACATTGACAAACTAATGTTTATCTTGTTCACTTAGCCAAATGGCACAGGAATGTGTTTAGCAAAAGATATGTAGGAAACAAGTAACCTGCCATGAAAACGTGTTCAAAGTGTACATGTTATACATAACATGTTCAGTTTTCCTGTTTTATCTACTTTACTTGTTTCAAAATAAAGTACATAAACCAAGATGAGGTCATTTTTGGAAAACAGATCATGTATGCTTCAGTGCATCTGAAAATTCACCCATGAAGTAGATCCCTTTCTTAAACTCATTAATAATTCATCAAGTTTTCACAACGAAATCACAACCATGACCATGTCTAGATATTTGATGTCTGACAACATGTTTTTTAGAGGAGGTTTATGAATGGCAGAACTTTTTTTACAAAATGGTTACAAACTAAACAAGGATCTGTGAAGTATCTCTTAATTAAGGAAGCTTTCTCATGGATAGCACAACTTAACCATCGTTTTTCTGAACATTTTGACTACCATTGGCAATTACAATTTTGATGTTTTTCAGCCTTACCAAACTTTCATGGTGAGGTTGCCTTCAATATTAAAGCAGTTTTATTGACTGTAACTTAACATGACATAGGGTTCCCCTCTAAGGCAGTACTTGAATGTGTTTAGTGAACGAGGGCTTTGGAAACAAGTAATCTCTTGAGATGGAATCCAGTTCTCCCAGAGCAGCCTGTGCATGACATCTAGTCACATCATCAGCATCTGTTGACTCCACAATCTTTAATAACTGGTATATGTCCTTAAGTGTGGAGCTTAGTTCCTACAAATGGAAAATAGTGAGGTGTAAAGGGAACGAAAGCACAAAGAAAAAATTGTGTAATCATCCATTTTCTTCATGAACCATGCTTCAAAGCCATAAATCAGCCAATGCTAATTAGATATTTTGAGCACCATTCTCCCATTGCAGCCTAATAGTTTGAGCCAGGGCCAGAATCATTGTGTTGCAGACTAGGCTATGCACTTTGATTTTAAAGGGGGGTCTCTCTACCCCAGTGTGTAAAAGCTACTGGGGAATGCAATGCAGAGAGAGTAACACTGCAATGGACTAGGATCCCATCCAGGGGGAAGTAGAAATAATCCAAGCCGCTTCACGTGAAGGAAAGCAGGATAAGCTCCAGCAAGATGGGATAGTTTGGCCAGATAGACTACAGTTTTCTGTTGCCCAGATAGCAAAAGTTTCCTTTGTTGGAGGTCTTGCTACTAACACAAACATAAAATGGAATTCTCACGTAATTTATTCAGCCAAAGCCACACATACATAGTTGTGCATAGGCTCCAGTGATAAGTGTGGGAAGGGTCATGCAAATGATGTCCCCTGATTGGCTGAAAAGACCAAGTCTTCACTTTGATTGGTGAATGAACTCACCTCCATTATGCTCTTCCCCAGTCCACGCAGTATTAAAGTAATGACTAGTATTGCAGCACCCCTGACTTCTGCTGACTTGTCAGTTTTCAGTACTGCTGACACGCAACTGAAAATCTGGTAAACAGAGAAAAGGTCTTGTTTTTGATATATTGATCTATGCATGCTAATAAACAGTCAACTTAGGCATACGGGACCACTTCCTAGTGAATGAAGTAAAAAAAAAAACAGGGTCATTTGGGCTCTTTTGTCCCAATGTACCAATTTTTAGCCTGCAAGAAAGCACATCAAAGTTTGAAACTTCTCAACCCAGTTGGGTAGGCCCTGTGTGAACACCTAGAACAGTCCATTTTGGGACTGTAATTTTGGCTATGTTCCCATGGAAGTGGCCCCAAATGGGTCAAGTCTCAACTCAGACTGAGTACTGTGTGTATTTGGTGTTTAACTTATTGGTAAAACTGTAATCTTGTCATTGTTAGCTGGTTACAGACCACTGAGACCAGTACCAGAGTGAAACTGTGAACACATGATGTACAGAAAAGGGATGGTTCCAAGTACATGTGGGGGGGGGCAGGGATGGTGCTGTGACGAGAAGGCTTTCCCTTACCAGTCTGGGCTGGGCTTATTCTGGCCTGGGGCCCATTTCTCAAAAACCCCAGAAACATTTCGGGCCCATAAAGCCATTTTCAGTTCATCTGTATCTTAAAATGCAGAAGTGTATGCACCTGTAACTTCTTGTATGAAAAAAACCTCTCTTCACATTAAGAACATGTGAATAAAACAGCTCTGTAATTGTAAGGTTCGAGATTTTACTATGGCTTTACGGGCCCGAAAAGTTTTGGGGGCTTTCGAGAAATGGGCCCCAGGTGCCATGTGTATGTTGAGTTTGCCTGGCTCTCAAGTTGATTGTCGCTAGGAGAGCAATTCTGGACAACATAGGCCTCCATTATCGACTAAAGGGTTCTGAGGTCGTACTCACCCAGAAAAGTTTCAAAAATTGATTAGAAGTGTTTAAGACTAATATTCCGAGCGGAAATGTGACACTTTACAAGTAAATACAGTAATAAACCCACTGACTGGTGTAACACTGGCTCTGCACAAGCAAACAGGTCTGGGCCGGGTTGTTCAAAATCCGGTTAACGCTAACCCCGGATTAAAAGTAAACAAAAGTATTAACTCTTCTTGTATAAAAATGTTTTTAGCTTTTTATGTTTCGAATATTTCACGATTAATCGAGCTCAAAACTGAAGGACAAACAATATAAAGTCTATAACAGAAAACCTCACTGAAAAGTTACAAAACTAAAACCACAATTCTTGCTAATCCTGGGTTAGCTTAATCAGGCTTTGAACAACCCGGTCCTAGAGAATAGAGAAATTTATCAACTACAGAATGTTATCTTGACACAGTACCATATTCTCGAAACTTAATTAAAAAGAATGTTTAGATACCAGTTAGGAGAATCTCTATTTTGAACTACCCACCTCATGTACAACTGGACCCAATGAGAACCTCAACAATTGACAGACATCACCAAGATTGGAGAGACTGCTGGCCCGAACCAGAGGCTCAGGATCCTTCACCCCAGTCAACAAGGCTGATAAAAGATGCTGAGAATATTTAGGTACCAGTTCACCACAGTTCCTGGTGGCTCGGACCAGAGCCTCTCCTAACTTCATTCTTTGTTCAGGAGATCTGACAGGTTGGCTTGATATGGGTGAAACTGCAAAATGTTATCAATACATGTTCTACGATTAACTGCAACATTACAATTTTTAATATTTACAGTGTGATATAGGACTCGTAGAGATGTTTTGCATGATGCATGTGATGGAATACACATTTACTGACCTCACATGAAGATTGTATTAGCGAAATAATGGTCATATTCACATCCATATTTAAAGACGGCCGAAGATTTACAATGGTGTTCTGAAGATTTCCAAAGATGTTTAACACATTTCCCATACCCAATCTCAGGATGAGTTTGGCTTAATAACACAATGCAGTCACCTGCACTTTTCCATGGAAAATTGGAGAATTAGGGAAAATATACTGGTCATCATTTCCATGGGATTTTCTTTGTTTGCAATAATTTGAGGTTACATATTTGTTTAAAGTGTGCCAGTTACGACTCATAAATAGCTCACATACCGTAAACTGCTGCTTACAAGCCTTGGGCTTATACAACTTTGTAAGGGCTTTAGATGGGCTTATAAATGGAGGGGCTTATATCCGAGGGGGCTTATAACCAGAATAAAAGAAAAAAACATTTCCAAACAAGCTATAGCTGCACATTTTGATCAGAATTATAGGTTTAAATTTCATTTACTGGTAATTAAGCTTTAATAAAACATCATAACAAAACAAATTCAAAACAAGGAAGGCTAGAGGGAGGCTTATATCCAGAGGGCTTAATAAACCCAGATATATTTTTTGGTTTACGGGTAGACGGGCCGATAACCGAGGGGCTTATAAGTGGCAGTTTATGGCATGACAGCAGTGAGTGAGAAATTGGTCCATAGACACAAGTACAATGTAGGTGTGAGATCAATGTTTTCATCTCAGAAGCATACATGTACACTATGTATAGTGTTATTCAAAACAAACACCAAACCAACCTCCTTCACTTTGTTTATAGTAACCCTTCTCATTAACATCCTTCGTCCTGACTGCAATATTTCCAGCCTCTGTCTGGCACATAGCAAATTCACAAGCAAGTCGTGGCATAACCATATCAGCCCTTACATCAGCCAATGAGACAAGTCCTTGAATAGCAGCTAGGTAAATATATGAGTCATCGTGTGATAGCTGTTCCAGAAAAATCTTCAATAAGGTATCTGTGGCTTGCACAGCTTTGGGATCTCTCTGGCGTAAAAGCAAGGCCAGTTGTATCATGGCATGACCTCGCACAGGAAGCAAGGGGTCACAGAGCTGGGAGAATGCTTCATCAAATGCAGAGGAAGCTTTTCCTTGAGTGGATGAAGATATTTTCTCTTTTAGATGAGCATTTTCTTTTCCTACTGGAGATTAAAAAATAACTTAAAAAGACCATAATTCGAGGAAGTTTGAAAACCATTATTACTGAGTGGCAAGCAATTTTATGGAACAGTGAAAATATGAGAGATCTTTATAAATTTGAAATGTGCACAAAGATGTAAAGACATGAATAATCATCACAGTTATGTACACAAGTTAAGCTGTTGTGAAAACAATGCCTGAAAAAGATTCAGGATTCAACAGGATGAATGCCAATACTCAATTATTGATGTAAGAAAAATAATATGAAATCAACAAAATTTTGCATTGGCAGCCCCACTTTGTAATGATAATAACTTTTTAAGGAGAAATACAATAATTCACCAGTAAGTAGCTCTTAATTTGTGTAAATAGTTTCATTTCTACATATTTTTTTTCCTTTTGTTGTTATGTATTATAATTTTGACAGACGTGTAACCAATATGTACATGTGAATAGTACAAAATAAAATTATGTAGTAATCTGTACGGTGTTCATCACTCTTTGGAAGATTTGTTATTAGTAGTAACTACCTTTGGTTGTTGCAGACCTTGAATCAACCTTTACTGTTTCAGAATCCTGCCCTAAAGTCTTTGCGGCAATGTTCATTCTGTGACTCCACACTGCCCCATGTGTTGCTATGGCAATCCGCACATCGCAAGCCATATCCTTGATCTTTTCTGATGGATGTTGTTCAGCTAGCATTTCCAGCAAAGGAAGAAGACCTTGAACAAGAGGTTGATGCTCTTTCTTAATCTGCAATAAATCAATTGTACATGAATGTACAGTATCCATATGATTGCCAGTTCATAGCCTGGTTATAGTGTATATTGTTCCTTCTTTGAGGACCTTTTTGAGACCCAAAAATGTGCTGCAAGAGAATCCCAGTAGAAAGTGTGTTATATTGTGATTGTATTTTATCTTCCAGACACCTCAACAGTGTATTAACCCCTGAAATTCCAGGGGAGATAAAAATCTAATTTCTTACCACAAAACATTTACACTATCAAGCAAACAGGTGATGAGAATAAAGAGAATTATCAGCATAGTGATATTGTCTTGATGCACTACCAAATTCTCAGATTAAAAATGATCACATTGCTTGCATCACAGGAAGTAAAGGTGGACTACAAAGTCAGAGATCAGGTGTTTGAATCTAGATGAGTACAAAATAATAAATTAAAATATCTTGCTGGGGGGGGGGAGTTGTTACTATATGGGAACCTGGTGGGGAAGGGTAGGGTTAGGGGCTGAGGGGGAGGGATTGTACAGGGACTGAGTGTGGCGTGGGTGTAAAGAGAGAGAAAAAAAAACTGGTTTGAAAAATTTAAAGCAGAGGCAAAAAATTAAAGATGATCACATTGCTTGCATCACAGGCCTAGACTGTGGAGATACAGGTGGACTACAAAGTCAGAGATTGGGTGTTTGAATGTAGATGAGTACAAAAATTAATAATACAAAAAATCGTGCTGGGGTGATACTGTATGGGATCCTGATAAGGGAAGGGTGGGCTTAAGAACTCAGGGGGGGGGGAGTGTAGGAACTGAGAGTGGTGTGGATGTAAAGAGAACAAAAAACTACTAGGTTTGAAAAATTTAAAGCAGAAGCAGAAATAAAATCACAACATACGAAACTGTCCTAGCTCTCTGTCTGTATAATGGAAGTGATTTGACGCAACTTTGTTCCAAGAATTATTTGGAGAACTCAATGATAAGATAACACATAAGATCACCTCAACTGCTCCGCCCAGCATTGCCGACAACATCCCAAGGGCCATAGTCAGTGTCTCGGTAACAAATGCTGTTCCCAGTCCGTCCTCATCTGCATCCATAATGGCACAGGCACGTTTCAGTGTAGACTCTATGAAGATGAGCATCTGTGAAGCATTTCTGAGAATGAACTCTCCAAGTCTCTCACACATGAGTGCAATAAGATGGAGGATCAGAAGACTGTGTTGTATATCTGAAAAAAAACAAAACATAAAAATAACATTGCTTAAGGTGACTTGGAAAATTTATATCCTTTCCATTATTGGCATTCTATCATTCATGTAGCTACAAAACAAGAATAACTTTTCATATAGTTACAGCTATAGAAAGTTTCACCTCTTTACTACTKAAATTTTCTATGACACCAAAATAAACTGGAGGTGCGTGGAAAAAAGCCCTGACTCTTAATCTTATCTCAAATTCTCCTTTTTTTCCTGGAAGGAAGCATAAAGCAATTTGCTTGGAGAATCTCACAGTCTATCAGATGTCACTAAGGGTCTTTTTCCGTACAACTCTTAAGTTGTAATTGCAATGCTTAAAGAGGTCAAAATGTTCTCCCTTTTTCCTAATTTTGAGACTACTAAGTTTACCACATCTGACAAAAAATTTATGTGAAAAAACATCAGCATTAAAGTAGCAGACACGGTACCTCCAGAGTTTGTATTGTTCATATCATCTGAAAAGTCTGATATGATATTTGTCAACTCCTGCATCAGGTATACAAAGAAGTCTCCACCAACATTGTCCTTTTTGAGACCACCTAAGAGTTCCACAATGCACAATGCTCGCACTTCACTGTTACTCAAATCAGCTCCTTGTAAATCCCTCAAGATGTCATCAACATAACCATGATCAACAGCATTATCATTTTGACATCTAATTATCACACCGCCATCGTCTCCATGTGCAAACACAAACTTGTCAAACATAAGAGGAACAAAAATGTCTTGTTTCTCATTTTTGTGGCCTGCATTAGAGTTTGTTAGAACTAAATTCTCTGGCAGGCTCATTCTAAAAGCCAGAGTATACAACAGTTGGAGAGTTTGACATTGCTCAGCATTCTCTAGTGTGTAGATAAGGATTTCTTGAAGAGCAGATCTGAAAAATAAACAAATCAAAACATTGAAACATCTTTAACTACTAAATAATCAGGAGTTGGTTTGGGGTCAAGGATCCTATCCCTGCGGATTTACGATCGCGAGTCATTTATAGGTTTTCATGTGCAGGCTGTAGTGCCCATTATGTTGGTGAAACCAACAGACACTTCACTACTCGCATCCGTGAACATCTCTCCTCTGACAAACATTTCCACATCCTTAAACACCTGAGAAGTTCTGAAAATTGTTGCTCCCTTTGTTCAGAAGACTGTTTTAAAATTCTTGACTCTGCTTCCACAAGCTTCCAATTGAAAATCAAGGAAGCCATGCACATCCTTTAGGAGCAGCCACCTTTAAATTCCCAGGCCAAACATCTTAATTTATCCCTTTTATACTAATTACTCTACATTCTTAGCTTAAATAGTTTTCCCTTTTTTTTTGGTTTGCACCTGCATCCTTGATTATTCTTGTTAATATCTCACTTTGTTTTACTATTAATTTTATTGCATATTTTCATTTTATTTCACAATGTACAACTGACAATGGATGATGCCTCATCTGAAACATGTATTTTCTACATTAAATAATGAACTTCAAAAACATTGTGCGGTTCATCAAAGCCATATCCTACTAAATAAGTACTTTTAACAAAATGAAATGAACAATGTCCAGGGTTGATGTCCTTCTTTTGGTGACAAATGCAAACCAAACTCCTTAACGGTATATGAGCTTGAGCTTAGTGCAGGGTTTTCATTACAGGCCCTAACCCATAGCACCTGTTACGGCTGAGTATGCTTGATTTTCCCTTGATACTGCGGGTGAAGTTGTCTGTTGTTGAAAGAATTCACCCACAAAGTAACAAGTTTGCTACAGGTGTGGAGAACAAGGCTTCAGGTGACTCAAAACTTCATAACAGCCCTGAAGTGTCCTCAACATTGACGAAGTCAAGCTAATTCTCGCACCACACAGAAATGTCCATGGCAACCAAGTGAGTGGTGTCAACTACATATAGTGCCATGACACTGATCTATAAAAATCACCAACAAATTCAAAGCAAATCTGCACAAGATCCCTAAAGACTTCAAAATTATTTCACATAGGTACAAGCATTTTTCTTTACACCTTTTGGCAGTGGAGTGCACATACATGTATCATGGAATGCTGACATTTGACTAAGCTCACCTTAGATGAGAAATTCCTTTCCTTGTGAAACAGAAGAGTTCAAAAACTGGATGGACAATTGGCATCAAAAATCTTAACTCATCATCAACTGATCCTGAAACAAAGACCTAAAAGACATATAATCAAGTAATTAATGACCAAGTCTGTTTAAAAATTGAGGTACACCTTGTTCTGTTGCAATACACAGTCGAACACCTATTAGAGATAATTTCCAGTCCGTACTGTGCACCCTCGAGAGTTTGCTTGTGTTTTTCGATTTGTTTCATGAAAGACATCACAAAATGTAAACATTTTGCAACTACTGACAGTGTACAGTGTTTCAAAACAACCATTATTATGGATATGAAGCGGTCGAAGCTTTATGTTTCATTCTTTCTTTTGTCACTATTGCGGAGCACCTCTTGTAGAATCTTACTATAACAAATCAAACACTTCTCATAAAAATTGACCGAGATATCCTTGTTTATCATATTTGATCAAAATTTGGTTGAGTGTATGAGGTCATCACTTGGCTAATTTGCATAATATTATTTATTTTAAAAACTTGAATATCTCTGGAACGAAAAGAGATAATTATTTGAAAACAGTAAACAGCATTTTTACTCTTGTACAGACTACTTGTTTATGTCTTAAAATGGCTCAGATATGAATGAGGTGATTTTCATCATAGTAGCACTTTAAGGGGCCATTATCCATTTCCCTGAGAGTGGCTATCTAATAAGGGTTGCACTGTATTAACTTTTTTAAAAATGTTAGAAAATTCGTGCTTAAACATTAATCATCTCAAAATGACCTATTTTTGATGATGTAAAGTAACTTTGCAAAGTCATAATATTTTCCCAGATCTACCTAAAGAATTACCTTGAATAATGCTATAAAGTTAATTTCAAGTACAATTAAGGGAAACTGAAACATGTGTACCTTGTGAATATCTTCAACACATCTTACAACTGTGAGTTCATCAACAAAATCACCAACAACTTTTTCATCTAAAAAAGTTTAATCAAAGAAAGAGTCATAAACTGTTCCTTTTAAAAATTTGTTGTCTTGGCTCCCAAGAGAGCTCGAATTGCTAGAAATCCTTGCATAAGATTTTTAAACTGTTTTGCTTATTATAATCCCAAGTAAAACCAAAACAGTTCTAAGCACTGCAACTAGGGCAAAGGACCATATTCCAGAACATCCAGGGATTATTGAATGCAGTGATCCAGAGTACAGTATGCCAAACATTATGTCACACAAAAAAAAAAACCGTCCTTAAAAGTGATTTCTGGTGTGTACTGCGCAGTCTCAGCACCACAATAGCCCATTGCAAAAACCTGAGAGGACTGGGAAAGAGTATGGTTGTTTTCTGTTTGTTCGAAAAACTAAGATATTCAAATGAAAGATCAACTAAATTTGAGTCTTAAGCAAGAATAGAAGTATTTAGAGGAGGAAAATGGCAAAATGATATCACCTAAAATAGAGAGTGTGTATGGATTGGGTAGACAGGCCACAAAATTGTAAAGGTTTGTATGGAATTTTGCAACTTTCGCAAGGCTCCCATTTAGACAATTTTCTGCTGAAAACTCTCCAACTTGACTGGGTAGCTTTTAATTCAGTGTAACATTTCAGTTGAAATGTTTAGATTTTCAATCTAATCGATATAAGAAACTCGTCCCAGTCCTCTCACATTTTTGCAATGGGCTATGTCTGTGAGTCTCAATTGATGGAACATGAATCAATAATATTTGATATGAACCACTTACCTTATCTTTGAGGCAATTTAAATTCTTTTTCCAGCAGTTTCTTTGATTTTTACAGCTATGAATTTGTTACAATTCGTTTACAAAAAAAAAGTGATGCCAGAGAGAACAAATCATAAAAGCTTCGCATCCATAATGGCGGTAGACATGAAACGTTGAATTAACTTCATGTAACTAGCAGCGAAAAGTTACATTTTGTGATGTCTTACATGAGTCAAAACAAAAAAAAGAAACAAACTCTTGAGAGTGCGCAGTACGGACTGGAAATCATTGTTAAGGTCATTGAAAACTAGAACATATGTAGATGGCTGTCTTAAGATACCACCCATCGGCTGCATGTTTCATACATACATGTACACTTTAATAGGCCTTTTGCACAATACAATCACATGGTATAGGATCTGCCATGCTGGATGG